AGAGCAGGCATCCTCAAACTATGGCCCCGCCCAGGACATTTATCCGGCCCGCCGGGTGTTTTTACCCCGTTTGTTTTTTTACTTCAAAATAAGATATGTGCAGTATGCATAGGAATTTGTTCATGGTTTTGTTTTAAACTGTAGTCTGGCCCTCCAACGGGTCTGAGGGGCAGTGAACTGGCCCCCTATTTAAAAAGTCTGAGGACCCCTGCTCTAGAGGTACTGAGTGCTCTGCTGAAAGGACAGGTTTCCGGTTGTGAGTGTCCTCTCTACCCAGTAGGGTCCAGAAACCCTACCGAGGCCCACTCAGGATCAGCTCCCCAGTCAGAGCATGAAACTCAGTCACCACTACCCTGTTTCCCCGAAAATAAGACCTACTTACAGTTTTGCCTCTCGCTGAAATATAAGGCATCCCCCTGAAAATAAGGCCCCCCGAAGCTAGCGTAACTCTGGACTTGACCTAGCGGCAGATCACTGTTGGCTGCAGAGCAGCCGGAGCAGACAGGAAGTGCGAGGTCTCTTTTAATAAAACAATAAAAAATAAATGTGTACCGTATTCTTCATGGAAAAATACGACATCCCCTGAAAATAAGACCTAGCGCATTTGTGTGAGCAAAAATTAATATAAAACACTCTTATTTTCAGGGAAACAGGGTATCAAGTCAATATTGACTCAGAGGGACCCTACAGGACAGGATGCAACTGCCCCTGTGGGTTTCCAAGGCTGTAGCAGTTTACGGGAGTAGAAAGCTCCGTCTTTCTCCCGAGGAGCCTGCTGGTGGTTTCTAACCACCGACCTTCAGAATTGCAGCTGCAGGTCAGAGTAGCCTGGAAAATCCTTGGGGGAGATAGAGAGAAAGAGGCAAGCTGTCTGTTCTTCTTCCCTTGGGTGAATCTGAGTGCAGGGGTGCATCTAGGCGGGGAAATGGGGTTTGCTTGGCATCCCAAGTTCAGCTTGTGTATCCCTGCTGTAAACTTCAGGAGGTCTGGAAGCTCCTGGTCAAAACCATCCTGCCTTCCAAAAAGGCTCTGGGGTATCTGAGTTCTGAGGTGAATGCTGAGTGGAAGGGGTTCATACTCCCTCCTGTCTTCGAGCATTGGAAAAGCAGAAAGTCCTGAGCAGTGAGTGTCCCATGGAAAGGGATTTTCCAATGAGTCCCTTGATAAAAACTGCCTGTCTGTTATAGATGAGGAGTGGCTGAAGTGCCAAGGTGAAACTGCTTTTCTTAATCGAGTAATTTCATATCTCAGAACATTTCTAATGGGTTCCCAATGTGATTACTTGGCAGATTGGTCACGATTATGTGGAACTCTGGGTAAAGTTCCAGCAACCCCAGCTGATCCTTGTCTTGGGGAGCCATTTAGCCTAAGGCTAATACCAAGAGAGATTCTGTAGTCAGCTCAAGACAGACAGAAAGTGGTAGAGCCCAGGCTCTAATGTCGGCAGGTTTCCAGCTGAGGAAATTCTGCAGAATTTGAGCTGTAATATTTATTACCTGTAGAATTCCCAGTGGTAAGTACCTGAGCATTACTTGCTGGGAATAACATCATCATAAATTATGAGAGAAAATATAAAAACTTCACAGAGGACCACCCAAGAAAGCCTTATTTAAACATTTGGAGGTATTTTTTTTCCCCTTGAAAAAAGTCTTACCAATCTGGGTAGACCAGAGCACGTACCCTGGTACAGATAAGAGCTCTTGACACACGGAATCCAGGAGAGATAACTCCCTTGGACCAATTAAGAGAGTAGCGATGCCACCAGGGTAGGAGGAAGAGAGGGGGAGAAAAGGGAGAAAGGTGGAACCGATCTCAATGATCATTGTAACTATTCAATATCAATACAACTTAGTTGATAATAATATGTAGCGATAGCCCTAAGGTAATGTCATTGGATAACTAAGGTATGCAGTAGATAATGTACAACAATGTACAGTAAATTTGTTATCATGGGCTCAGTTGAATTGGTTTGACTCACAGCGCAGCTGCATACAATAGACCAAGATGTGCCCGCCTCACGGTCGTCGCTGTGCTTAAACTCTTTGTTGTAGCTTCTATGCCGTTCCATCGTATGGAGGGGCTTCTTTTTTGCTGACCTTCTGCATAATATCTTCTCCAGGGGCTCATCCTGCCTGCTAACATTTCCAAAGAAGGTGAGATGATGTCAACCATTCTTGATTCCAAGGGGCATTCTAACTCTACTTCTTCCAGGACAGATTTGTTTATTTTTCTGGCAGTCCCCAGTATATTGACTATTCTTTGCCAACAGATAACCATAATTCACAAGTATTGATTCTTCTTTGATTTTTCTTATTCATTGCCTACTTTTTGCAAGCATATAAGGTGACTGAAAATACGATTGCGTGGGTCAGGTACATCTTAGCAAAGTAACATCTTTGCTGTGTGATATCTTGAGTGCTGCTACAGGGAGAGTTAATTGTGGACCCAAGTAAATAAAATGAAACCTTTGACAAGTCCAGTCTTTTCTCTGTTTATCATGATGCTGCCCATTGGCCCAGTTGTGAGGATTTTTCCCCTTATGCAAGTTGAGGTATAACTCAGATTGAAGCGTGTAGTTTTTGATCTCTCTCAGTAAGTGCTTCAAGGGCTCTTCGTCCCAGCAAGCACAAGACCGTGTCTTCTGCACAGTGAGGTTGTTCATAAGTCAGGCCATGGTCTTCATCTAGTCCAACTTCTCAGATTATTTGCTCCGCATGCAGATGGAATAAGTATAAATAGCTCAATGTCTTTTCAAAGCTAACAGGTTTATACTATTTTGGGAAGGAAATGGAGACATAGAGAGATTAAGTGACTGCCAGAAGTCACGGTGCTGAGTTTGTACGAGTGTAGGGAGGGAGTAGAAGCTTGGGCTGTATAGGGCTCTCAGTGCCATCAGAGGGACTGGAATCCGAACTCCTCCTGACTCCTTGATCTGAGTTCTTGGGAATTTCTCAGCTACTAGAGCTAGCAAAATCTGAAGGTCAGTGTCAGTTACTGCTTCCCTGATGATCCATAGCCATTTGTTTAGTTGGCAGCTATTTCTTGACCCGCTCCTATGTGCCCAGTAGTGTGCTTGGGATGAAGCAACAACGGAGTGAACTATAAGCTCTGCTCTCACGTGCTGAGTGGTCTGACCTGGGACATTTTTTTTTTACCTTGGTGTGTTAGTCTGGGTAGACTAGAGACACAAAATTATAGACACTCATAGTTTATGAGAGTTTTATATAAAGGATAAATGTACATTAAGAAAGCATCCCAACCTAGTGCTGTCCAAGGCCTTAAGCCTGAAACTAGCCCATATGGCTGACACCGATCTCCAAAGTCCTCCTCCATCTCACAAAACACATGCAATGACGCAGACTGCAGGAGGAAAACTGAAACAGTGAGCGTGTCAGCATCTCCACGTGGCTGCTCCAGCACCCAGGGCTGCATTGGGGTAGGTCCATGTGGCTTCTCCTCAGGGAAATGAGCCTTGCCAGCTGAGGCAGGGAACTGACTAAGGGAGCCATGCACACTGGTCCTACCACCAGAGAACAAGAGACCAGACAGGCGAGGCTCACCGAGCCATTTATCTCTCTGCCCTTCACTTAATCCCATATGTGTTCATTGGCCAGTTGGCACAATAAACCTTAACTATCACACTTGGCAAAGTCAAAGAAAGAATACTTGACCTTTGGGCCCTCTCTAACATTAATTATGATTATGTAAATTCTTGGTAATGGATGATGGCTTTTCTATTTTGAGTAAAAAAATAACCTCAAATGTAAGGATACTATTTTTGGTTCTTTATGAAATTGCTAGGTTATTTCATAACATGTAAAGTATTTTGAAGAAATAGCTTGAGATTGTGTTTGTTACTCATCGAACTCACATCATTCTCTCTATGTGTGTTTGTACTCTAAGTAGAGGGATTTGTTTAATTCAGTGGGTTATTTTCATTCCTGCATTGTTCAAGTGCTCCTTGTGACAGTCTCTTAAGTTGGCTCTGGGTCCTTTGCGGGCTTCTTCAGGATTCATCAGACACTTTGTCGTCATGTTGTTGTACATGAAGATATTCTGGGCCCATCTTGTACTTTTCTGCTCCAATTTTGGAACTAGCCATTTCTTCCAGAGGTCCCAACTCCTTTTAAGAGACAGTGGTATTAAGTAGCCAAAACTTGGGTGCTGGCATGCTCTCAGTTTCTGATTTGTCATTGTTCTTGGCTGAAGTGTATCTTCACTTCCTGAAGTGAGCCATACTGCCCCCCAGGGTATGGGGGTGGTGGTGCCTGAATACTGGTATGAGCCAGGGCCTAAAGCAGATACCTGTAACTTATTAATTATTAGTTATTGATTGCTGATGGTGTGGCAGGGGGGTACACTGATTAATTTTAACCCCCTGAAAAAGGGACATTAAGCCGAGAGAGAATGGAGAGAGAATATCTACTTTTTTCCATATTTCTATACAGGGAGTTCATGGCTTACTTTTTCTAGAGTTTTCTAGTTATGCCAAACTGGAGTTGCACTTCAATAAATATCACTTTTGTTTCATAATAGCACATCTTACCATTAATGGCATAGTGGTTACTCTTTGGGCTGCTAACTGCAGTTCAAAACCACTAGCCACCCTGAGGGAGACCGATGGGGCTTTCTACTCCCTTAAACAGTCACCATCTCAGAAACTCCAAGGAGGAGTTCTCCCCTGTGCTGTAGGGTCGTTAAGAGCTGACCTTGACTCAATGTCAGTGAGTTGGGTTATTTTAATCATTAGTAATATGAATGAATGTGCATATTAAAATTGGTCTTCATACGTATTGCTTCCAATCCTCAAAGACAATAAAAAGCAAATGGAATTGTCGGAACCAGAACCCTGACATAAGTCGGAGACTTCCTATATATTTAAAATAAGATGAGAACAAACAGCCAGGCAAACACAAACATCCCTGACGCTAGGATCCTAAATAGATACAAACGTGTGGGTGTTTGGGTCTATATCACCCCCTTCTCTTTCTTCTTAACAGGTGGCTGAACCCCTTGTTTAAAATCGGTCATAAACGGAGACTAGAAGAAGATGATATGTACTCACTGCTCCCCGAGGACCGTTCAAAGTATCTTGGAGAAGAGTTACAGGGGTAAGCAAGGGCTAGCCACGTGATGGGTAAGGAAGAGCGAGACTTTCGATGTGAGTCGCAAATGGTTTGGAATGGTCTTTGCCTTCCTGGTTTCTTATCTCCCTTTGACCCTTGTGGAAACAAGCTCCCCTTAGAACAGTGGTTCTCAACCTGTGGAAAGACCCTTTCACGGGGGTCACCTGATCATAACAGCAAAATTACAGGTATGAAGTAGCAACGAAAATAATTTTAGGGTGGGGGTATGTGGTCAACACAACAGGAGGAACTATATTAAAGGGTCATGGCATTAGAAAGGTTGAGAATCACTGCCTTCGAATCTCACCTTCTCTTCCCCTCTGCCTTTCTCCAGGCTGAGCTACCTCAGTGACCTTCGGGCAGCCTGCATGGTGTCCAGTTGAGTTGAGAGCACCCGGTTGCAAGGGCTCTGGAGGCCAAGCCTGTGTCCCAGTGGGGTGGTTTCATGAGGAGGGGAGCTGCCGGTCCTGTCTGCTCTACTTTCTGCCTTCTTGGGATCCCCTGGTGCTGTGAGCCCTGCAAAACTTTGCAGCCACTTGTTTCCCAAGACTGGAGCCCTCCCGTCAAGACCTGCATGTCTAGTGCTGCAGATTCCACATGGAGCATCATTCAGGGGCTTGCAGGCAAATAGTGTGCACTCCCCCTCATTCTACCACCTCCCCCGTATTACCACATGGCAGAGCACACCGGTTCTCACTCTGCTTTGTTTCTCTTGTAGGTACTGGGATAAAGAAGTTTTACGAGCTGAGAAAGAAGCACGGGTGCCTTCTTTAACAAAAGCAATCATCAAGTGTTACTGGAAATCTTACTTACTTTTGGGAATTTTTACATTAATCGAGGTAAAAATGTTTATATAAGTGAAGTGCGTTTTAGTTATACACACCATAAAAAGGCTAGCTGAAATTGGCACTAAAATAGGCAGTGAGAGAGCACACCTGTTGAGGGTTGAAGGTATCCTCGGGTTGGAAGATAAGGCAGGTCCAGGAAGCAGGCTTAAGTTCAGCCGCTGTATTTCTCTTTGGGATCTAATGACTGAAACTCGGGGAGTGGGGTGTGTTTATTATGATTTTTAATCGATGAAAATACAATGCTCTGAAAGAATATCCGTGACAATGGAGGGAACTTCATACCGTGTTAGGACAGGGTAGGTGCTCGGTAAATGTTACAGATGCTAAGAGGAAGCCTTGACCAGAGAGCTGTAATGTCAAGGACTGAACGTGTGCCTGTGGTTTGGAGGAAGTAAATTTGGACCAGGCCTAGAAAAAAAGATGGGACAATTTACAGGTGCTCAGCAAGGACTTATTACGTTGACTGCACCAAATCTGATAAGTGCTTTCCCAAGCAGGTCTTAGCACTTCCCCATTCCCAGGAGTCCAGAACACGGAGCATTGGGTCTGGGCCTGGCTTGGGGTCTCAGAAGCTGGAAGCCCTCAAGAGCACCTCCGTTTCAAGCTGTAGCCTCCAGTGGGAGAGGGCCTGAGTTCTCAGTTAGTTTGGAACTTCATGCACTATCCATCCTGATTTCCTGTTGGGGCTGGATTGCTAGGGTGAAGGTGGGCTCTTGGTAGCCTGGCACTACAGAGTATGGACATTGATGTACAGTGGAAAATCAAAGGCACAAAGCCTTGAGATCCATTGTCTTCATTGCCTAGAGGGCCCCACACCAAGATTGTGTTCTTCCTGGGGTCACAGTGCCAATGACCATGCCAGTTCCAGCCATTGATCTGCTGGAGGAGATAAAAAAAAACCCCTCCTAGGTGGCTTGTTTTCTTTACGGTGTCTTATTAACACACCGGAAGCCCCATGAGTACACGAGAGTAGTCAGGAGAGAAGGTACAATTACTACGGCATGCAAAAGCTTGTGAGGTGTTTGCTAAGGTGAGGAGGGTAGGCAGATTCTATTATATGTGGCAAGTATAGCTCGTTGAAGATGTTGTTTCTGTATGGGTAACAGAGTGATCAGCGGGTAGGTATGTAGGTTGACTTTGTCCTATAAAACCGAGGAAATCTGAAGCCTGTGAAAAGTTACAGGGCCTGGGAGATTGAAGTTGTCATTGATGAAGAGCTGGCCAGACAGACATTCATGGCAGAGGGTCACATGATAATTTATAAATTATTATTTGGTCATATCTTATATTGTCCGATGTGTCCGTTCACCCACTTTTCTGTTGTTCATCCCCCCAGGGAGGAGGTTATATGTAGATCCCTATAATTGGTTCCCCCTTTCCACCCCACCCTCCCTCCACCCTCCCGGTTTTGCCGCTCTCTCACCACTGGTCCTAAAGGGATCATCGGCCTTGGATTCCCTGTATTTCAGGTTCCTACTTGTACCAGTGGACATCCTCTGGTCTAGCCAGATGTGTAAGGTAGAATTGGGATCATGATAGTGGGGGGGAGGAAGCATTAAAGAACTAGAGGAAAGTTGTATGTTTCATCGGTGCTACACTGCACCCCGTTGTTTTCTCCTCTGGATTGTTTGTCTAGCCTTATTTAGACAGACCTGTGGAGATAATAACATGCACAAAAACAAGACAGAGCAAAACAAAACAAAACAACAACAACAACAACAAAAAGCCAATGACTGAAAAACAAAACAAAAAAGAAAAGCATGTAGTTAGTTCAAAGGACTGTTGGCTTCCAGGAGTGTTTTCCAGTGAAGTCTGATGGGGTGCCAAGCCCTGGCTCCAGAGTCTATTCTTGGTATTCCCGGGGCAGATTTGGTGAGTTTTGTCCTACATTTTTATCCCAGTCTATCAGGATCTGTCTGTGAGAGGACTTCAAAAAATTCATGTTAACATCTCATTATCATTTACTTCTAAATCTCCATGACAGATTTGAGGCCTCGTCATGCTGAGACTTATCAGAACAATCAGTAGTAGTGGCCAGGCACCATCTAGTTCTTCTGACCTCTGTGTGTGGTTTGGATAGGGCCTTTTTTTACCCCAGTGCCATTGACTTGATTCTAGTCCATTGCAATCCAATAGAAGGTTTCTGAGACCATAAATTTTTACTGGAGCAGACAACCTCATCTTTCTCCTGTGGAGTAGTAGCATCTGAGTCTAAACCTGCAACCTTGTGGTTCACAGTCCAGCACTCACCTGACAGTGCCACAATGGAGTCATTGTCTTTGGTTTCTTTATTCTTGATGAGTAGAAGCCTATAGTTTTATTGGAAATGACTGCTTGCAAGCTTTTACGAGCCCCAACATTATTCACCCAAATAGGAAGTAGAATACAGACCTCATGAACTCTATTATGCCAACAGACCAAGTTACCCTGTGAGACTTTAGTCCTCAGCCTTCAGATTTAGTAAACCGTTCCCATTAGATATTTGTTTATGTCTAAGAACTATCCACAACTGGTCCCCTATATGCTTAATTTATGTATTTAAATATATATGCATGTTAACCTATAGTATATATATTCAAAGCAGACAATTTTGCCTACAATTGTACACATAGGCACATACATATACCTACCTACATGCATATATGCAATCCTACACATTTAACCAAATAAATGAACAAAATGTTCTAAAATTTGGTTGTGGTAACTGCACAACTGTTGTTGTAAAATTGAAAATGGGGTAGCATTTACTAAAATGTCCCTTATTCTTGTGTGCTTCTTATTGTCGTCATTGCCTGGTCAGGTTATACACATTTGACTGATGCTCTGGGCAGAGCCCAAGTTCTCCATTCTTTTACTTGGTTATAGCTCCTGGCTTCCTGCTGAGAGGTGGTGTTTCTGGATTGCAGGAGCCTTCGACCCTTGTCTTGAAGGGGGTGTGCATTTGCTTGGAAACCACTAAGAAATAGGACACGTCTGCCCTGATGTCCGGACACACTTTCCCGTTGGCTGGACCTGTTCCCAGGCATTTACTGTTTGAGGTGCAGGCCAGGCAGAAGATCGATCTGATAGGAAGCAGTGAGTGGGCTTTCCCCCCCAGGAGAGTGCTGACCTATTAATGTGCACTTTGCAGCTCTGTGCTCAGACCACCATTTCGATGGTTTTCAGATAGAATAACATTCGGCAACAGCTGGTCGCTCTCTGGAAAGCACATGGAGGCATTTTCACTTCCTCCGTGTAATGCTCAAACTGGCAGAACATTCAGCTTGGAGGCAGTAACGTTCAGGGAGCAAAGGGTGGGCAATTCACCTGGAGGCAGACCTGCTATTATTTTCCTGGCAGCGAAAAGAAGCCTGAAATCTAACCCAAACGCCTCTGCTTTTCTAGACTTTCCTTTGCATTTTGTTGTGTTGGAGAACTTGGGTGTGATGTGAAGCTAATAAGGGTCTGGTACAGTTAAGAACAATCACTGTCAGATGCTGTCCTGTGTGTGTGCATGCGCGCCTATGCTTTGGTTTTTAAATTGTTAAAAGCTACTTATTTAATTAAATGCGATAGAATTAGGTTAAAATTTAATATTTTATTTATGTTCCTTTTGGACCCATTTTTACGTTTTCATTTTTGTTATTTTCTGCTTTGTTTTGGTTGGAGATTTTTCTGTTTTATTTTCTTGTTAGGTTTATTTTTGTTTCATTTGGTGTATAATTTTCTTTATATGAAATCCAAGATAGGTAAATCTATAGAAAGAGTAACTAGATCTATCTAGATAAAATAGGTGGGATAAATAATCCAGAGGGGAAAACAACAGGACCAACAGTTCAGGGGGTACATAGGAGAGGGGGAAGTGGGGGAAAGGAAGTGTGGGGGTTAACAAACCCAGAGACAAGGGAAAAACAAGTGATCTAAAATCAATGGTGAGGAGGGTATAGGATGCCTGATAGGGCTTGATCAAGGGCAATGCAACTGAGGAATTACTGAAACCCAAATGATGGCTGAACATGATAGTGGGGCAAGAAGAATGTAAAAGGAAATAGAAGAAAGAACTAGGAGGCAAAGGACATTTATAGAGGTCTAAATACAGACATGTA